AAAAAGAGATGAGATGATTATGGGCTTAGGCCCAGGTACAGTTTAGCAGACGATTCAACGTGAGTCCTAGTTTTGAGCTCAACCCAAAGGTTGACTGGGACAGTGTGACATCACAGTGCCAACAGAGGCTTCTAATCAATCAACTCATGCTAGTGAGGATATCTTTTTAATCATATCGCTCCGAGACAACCTTAAACACTAAGATGTTATGGTACACATGTACTACTGCGTATACTAGTGACGTCCACTTGACGTCCACTTGACCTCCAAGTGACATCCAAGTGACATCCAAATGATGTCCATGTGACCTCCAAAAGGTGGAGTACCAAAAAAATTTTGTTTTTCTGAATTTTAACCACAAAAATGGACATAGCTATTTATATTATTTTAAGACAAATTAGTGTGTTTTTAGTAATTTTTGAGAAACTTTTTATTTTCTGAGATTTGTTCAGTCCACTTGACCGCCAAGTGACGTCCAAGTGACGTGTTGCAAATTTCACGCAAATCGTCAGCATCTGGGGAGAAGGAAATGCAAACGTGTGCATGCGTCTGTCCTCCACCGCTGCACACATCAAGATAAACAGTGGTGTCAGTTTCCCAGCCTGTACCAGGAAGATGGTGCAGTTCAATAAGCACCACTTAAAACCAACTCCAACTGTGGGAGGCTGCGGTGGAAATATGACAATTTCATGACGAAATATGACCTTTTCATCTCACTGAGGTCGGTGTCCTCCTCAGACCACGATGACTTGACGTTTTCATCCCCTGCAGCTGCAGCCACGTACATTAGTCAACATGAAGTGTTTCTGAGGCTCAAAACTCTGCTATAATTCCTTTTTAAATGCACTGTTGTGTGAATCTAACAGCATTTTCATGAAAAAGAAAAGTCAACCTTTAAAGCAATCAACAGCCAGGATTGGTCTGAACACCTGTTGTTACCAAGGGAGCCGCCGTCAGTCCCACGTTCAACCTGGATCAATTGGCTAGTCCCTCATTATTACATACAGAGACAAAATATCATTCACACTAAACATTCAAACCTATGGTTAATTAAGTGTGAATAATTAACCTGATCTGAATGTTTTTAGAGTGGGATGATTTAAAAACTACAGGGATACAGAGTGTGTTAGTTTCCACCGATTCATCGCACCAGTGACGTTTATCCCGTAAGGCAAGTGTACTAACCACATTTCCACCAAACCTCCCATATTCATGAATAATGGGAAACGCAGTTTTATAATATGACTCTGTTTGTGTGATCAATAAGATAAAATAAAAAATAGATAGAATTATATAAGTAAAATTGAATAAAATAAAATCGTCATTAATGTGATACCAAAACAGAGCAGTACAGTAAAATGAAGCTCCAGCACAGTTAGGTTTTTTTTCTAGTACAGTAAAATGAAGCTCCAGCACAGATTTTTTTCCTCAGAAAAGAACTGAAGATTAGAATAACAAATGTGCGATAACTAAGTAGAGTTTTTAAGATACAGTGGTGGAATTGAGATGTGCTTGTCAAGGAGCTGACACTGGATATGGTTGGGTGACCGTAAGATTGACAGACAAAGCTCAGAGGTTGCTGGCTAAGTAGTTCCATTGTGGCTCCTAGCCTCCGACATGAATCTGATCCAAGGCTCTGATCACATTCTCCGTCTGGCTCGATCTCAGCTGCACAAGTTAAGGCGTTTGTGTTTGTATCGAGACTGCAGAGATGTTGCGTGTTTCGGCACTCCCTACAAATGTGTCGACAAGCCTTGTCAGTCCGCCTCCCTCTCGTCCAGTTGGCAGGTAGACTCCTTGTTGGCACGTTTATTCCCCCCGTGGTCCAAAGGGCATCACAGCAGATTAGCACGTGTGTTGCAGCGTCCAGGTGCAGTGACGGTGCATGTCTAATGCCAGACCTGCTGTGATAGTGTTCTGTGCTGTGAAAATGCTGACCTCTGCTGAACTGATGATTGCTGTTTCCTCCTCCAAGTTTTTTTACTTTCCCACACTTCAGCTTTTTGCTCAGACAGAAACATAGTGAGCAGAGTATTTCCGTGACGATTGCGATCACCTCTACGACCTTTTTATGACGCAACTGGTGGAGACAGACATTTATGGCAACTCTGCGTCCAAGTGCAAAAAACAAAACAAAGTGAACATTAGAATAGTGGAGTCAGCTGGTGTTCATAAAAGGTGTCAGGATTTCATCAAGTGATCAATCACTAGTGAAATCTGCTATCATGACAAAAAAGAAAGGATATTTTACAACGGAAACTGAATTTTGATCAGTCTTTTATCAAAAGAAAATATAATAATTATAAAATATTGTTTGTTTTTAAGATTCCTACTACTGGTCTTCTGTGATGTCATCACAGGCGGTGTGTGGTTATGTACATTTCTGATGAGACAGAGAGACTGTCACTGTTTATGCACTTTATTGATCCTTCACCTTAATGTACCCTGTAGTCCGTTTCTCAATCGAAATCCAATACACGTTTAGATTTTATCCACACAGAGCAGAGCTGCAGTGGAGGTTTGAACCTCAGACTGGAGTGCTTCAACAGAGGTCCACAGCCCTTGGTGGTCCATGGGGCTACCAAAAGGGGCGGTCATTAATTCTGTGTTTAAAAGACATTTTAAAAAATATATATATTTGAATTGATAATGAAGGCAGATGATATAATCTCAGGTCACCACACTGGTCAAGGTGGGACTCTCTCTGTCTTCTCTGTTATCGTTCTCCTAATGCTGCCTCCTTTCAGGACCAGTAAAAGCTATAATTAGGAGCACCTCAGGCCCACGGTTGCACGTGTGCAGCATGTGTGGCACTGCTGCACCGTGGGTAAATATAGCATTACCACCTGCTTTCTGTAATGGGGTTTTATGGCTTTTAAACAGTTAGTTGGTGCATTTAAATAATTTAAAAATGACATTTAAGGACAAGTACAAAACAACAAAGATAATCATCAAAGAAAGAAAGCAGTTAAAGCAGTTTTATAGGGTAGAGAAAACGCCTGGGGCAAAACTCCCATGAAAGAGTGTATAATGGAGGTGGAGTAAAGGAAGCCAAGGTAAAGCTAAGTTACCCAATAAACTTAATAAAGTTAATAACAACAGTTATTCTAACTTAAGTTAGAACAAAACAAAATGAAATAACACAAAATAACATTTTTAACCACATCAAACATGTCAACAAGGAAAAGTGCTCGAAAAAAATAATCAAAATGAAACATTAGCACAAATGCAGTTCAAGGTTAGCCGATGAGACAGCTGACTAGACCAGATATTGCAAAGAAGTCAAAACACGTTAGCCATGAAATCTAAGTTCACCCAACATATTTTTAAGAAACTTAATGTAAACAATAAAATACATAAATACACAAATCTAAACCTAAAAACCTAAATAGCAGTTGTTTCTGTGCTAAGGACTAGCAAAAATGATTGTTTAGTAGATTAATAAGATAGTTTATATATATATATACTGTATGTTTGCCCAGTGTCCTTAAAATACACAAATCTAAACCTAAAAACCTAAATAGCAGTTGTTTCTGTGCTAAGGACTAGCAAAAATGATTGTTTAGTAGATTAATAAGATAGTTTATATATATATATACTGTATGTTTGCCCAGTGTCCTTAAATAGGATAAAAAATAAATTAAAGTTAGCCCTGCGCTAGCTACATTAGCAAAGCTCAACAGATAAGTAAACATTACACAACTGGAAGTTAGTCATCAACATACAGCCTAAAGAAAATAGAAAGAGATGGTAAGATAAGATTGTAAGATAGTAAGAAATTGATAAATTATCAAAATGATAAGTTTAGCTGAGAAATAGTTTAAGACTAGCTAACAGTGATCAACAAACTCTGACACATGTTGACTTAAATCGTATGGCTAAGAAAAGCTAGTTGACTTAAATCGTATGGCTAAGAAAAACTATAGTTCCAGAATTCAGTGACTCAAACTCACACAGTTAACATTTAGCAAATCAAAGGAAAAATAAACAGGAAACAACTACTAATTGAGTAGCACTTAAATAGCTGTGTATTTTAGCCAACAATAGCTTATAACTTCAGACAAAAATACAGCTAGCTTGTCGTTAGACAACGTGGCTAAAAGCTACAGCAGAAACATGTCAGCGGGACAAAAAAGTCCTGTTGATTTTCTGCCCCGGTGCCTGTGCAGCTTTAAAGGCAGCACGTACGTTGACTGGCAGAGACTAATGACGTTGTTGAAACTCCTCTATTTGTTTGTTCCTCGACTTTGTTGTACTGTTGTAATGTACATTAACATTAGCCCTAAAACCATTAGGACATTAGAGGATGATGAAAGGCACTGGAAATGTGAGTGCACAGGAGATTAATGAAGCCCGGCTGAGGCTCTGATGAATGGGAGGAAGTCCATACAGTAGTACTGTATGTGAAAATAAAACATCTGTGGCGGGTTGTTTCCAGATGATGTCATCCTCCCATTCCAACTTCGAACTCTCACAGCGAACTCAGCAACAGCTACAGTCACTCAGAACATGTGCGGCGGACGTTATGATTGTGCGGCCGTGAGCGAGGAACTTGGAGAACATTTGGTGTGTAGATAATGTGGAGTGACAGAGCTTGAAGAAAGCTGTTGGCTGGCTGCTCGTGTGTCGCCTGCTGCTGACAGACGTGCACTCTTAGTTGGCCGGACCTCGGCTGCTTTCACTTGATCGTATGAAAACAAAGGAAGACAGTGTTGGCCTCGGCCGTCGACTGTGTCGTATTCCATCTGACGCAAAAAATGCTCCCTGTGCGAAAACACCCTGCTATCAACAACATTGTGAGAGAAGTAATGTTTATATCAACTTAATTTCCCCAGGAAATGTTACACGAGATTATCCTATCAATGTTGTTTAGACACAATCAGTAGATATCGCTACGAAAACAAGTATCATTATCGGACCTGAAAAGTGATTAAAATACTCAAAAACCTGCCAATCCAAGGACCCGATAGTTGCGCTATGGCTTCACACAACAACCATGATGCATTTATGCCATACTTTTTATTTTATTTGACGATTTTGTGTGAGCTACATGGAAATTATGCTACACAGTTTAACAGTAGGGGGCAGTGTTTTCACTTGGAAGATGCCAGTGGTTTAAAGCTCTGCTCACTTTCTGTCCATCTGTTAAATGTTTTTTATCTTTATTTATTCATGAATTTTATCCTTGGTTCAATTGATATATTATCTAATGTGACTACAGTATCAGTTTAAAAAATGTGTTTAATTCAGAAATATCTGTTTACGTTTGGATTAAAATAATCATCTGTTAATGAGAAAACAGCAGCATTTTACAATTTCTTCTGGTGATGTTTGTTGTTTTTCCCCAACAGTTATCTATTGTATTTATCTATTTTATCTGTGTTGGAAGAGTGGGTGCCTTAGAGCAAGACGATCTCTAGTGGTGACTGATGGTCTTTTTATTAGGTTTTGCTCTTGTGTACATGGCTTTTATCCCAGTACTCTATTCAGAATCATCCAGGTTTAGATGAGTTAGACACTCGTTTGGTATGAGCGTAAGTACAATTCCCTGATTCCTAACATAATTCCAGTTCCAGCCCCCCCCACCTCCCTCCCTCACTCTGGCCTCTGCTGTCTGTGTCTGTAACACGTCTTTAAAGTGACGAGAGCTGTCTCCTTGTCAAAATGTGCTCGCGATTCCTTCCAGGAGGATTGATGTGCCTCCCGTCTCTGTGATTGACAGACCATATAAACGGCTAAGAGCTGGGTGTAGGGAGGTGTCTGGCAGCCACCGTGTTTGTGCAGGCTGAGGCTGAGCTCACACTGATGTCCTGGGGGCCTGTGAGGGAGGAACCAGGGCCGGGGGCCTGCACTGTTCTCATACGCCTACACCCCGTATGAAGAGACACAGTGTGGAAGCTGCTATTTTGTGGCGTGCATGTCATTCGGTGGGACGTTCTCCTGGTATTAAATTGGAATCTCAATTATTCATGAACATTTTGGACACTTTTTGGAAACATGCGTGATATTTTTAGTGTTTATGCCCAGAGGGATGAAAGACTGGTCCAGAAAAAAATGATGGAACGCTTTGACAAACTGCAGTTCACGTTGTACCAATGAAATCAGCAGAGAATATTCTAACCGTCAACTGGTTGAATAAAGTTTCTTTATAAACCATTTTCATGAATACTTGTTTGCCAGGGAACACGAGTAGGACCAGCTCTTTAAAGGCGGGGTTATGCCTCCATCTGCTGGTTGCCTTTAGTATAGCTAGGCCCATCTAATGACTGCTGGGTTTGGCTGCAGCCCCTCTGTGACCCTGGGAAGTGGTAGGACATTATGAATAAGTATTTAATGTAAGTTTTTTTTTAAAATCTTAGGACAAAATACAACGATCTCTGTTAAATATGAACCTTTGAGCTGCCTCTAACTAAACGACAGCTACACACCGATTAAACAAATGCTAATTCACTGCTGTTTTGGACAGAGCTGTAGATTGAGAATTTTTTTTCCATATTAGATATTAAGAAACAATAAATAGTACATTATGGGTGGAGATGGTTTTATATATTTTGGCCTATATTTGTGTGCCATTGGTTATAGGATATTATTCTGTACGTTATCTGGCTAAAAAAACAAAGTGAGGGTCCAGACTGGAGCATGTCTCAGACCACCACAGTCAGGATTTCAACAGTCTTCACGGGTTTGGACTGGTTGGAGTCCGACTTTTTACGACCCACTTTCTCAGTTCCATTCGTCTTCTCGCAGGGGTCCGACCGACCGCCCCTCTCGGTGGCCAAATTCAAAGGTAATCCTCAGCTCTCCCATCTGACAGCGAGGCAGCAGGTCAGGGATCCACTCAATCACAAAGGGACCGGCCTCATTCTGCTCAGCAGTGCCTGGTCCTGGTAGAGACACAGCACTTTGAACGTTTGCAGCTTTGAAAAAAAAAAAAAGGGTTGAGCGGCAAACACTTACCGACTTTGAGGAAAGTGCGGAGCTCCATGGGCCGAATGGCCTGAGGACGATCGCTTCTGTTTCCTTCTGGTTCAATCTGAGGCTCGGGACACTGAAAACGTGAATAAGAGCCATCAGTGTTTTTCACAAAACTCTGATGCAGCTCAAGCGGCACCTGGTGGGCAGACAGAGAAGTGGAGAGAAATATGAAAAAGCAGGAACGGCAGTGACTCTGAGGTCTGATTTAATATGGCCATTCATTACTGGATAACTTCAGGATAAAGCAGGTGTATGTGTTTAAAAGTAAAAATATTCATTTAAGTAAAATTAGGTTGGACGTTTATGACAATTTAAAAAAACAACCTTGGCAAAAATAACAACTTTGTACAAAATTTAATAGTAAAATGTTGATATAAAATATTTTACCTCTGGAGTGTCAAATATGCGTTTGACCTGCATGACATTAGTGATGTGCCAGGTGTACTTGGAGAACGTGCCCAGGGGAAGTCCATCTTTCCTTACAAACGCTGACGTCCAACGGAGACAACAAGGAAAGACATTATAACAAAGAGAGATCCAAATCACACTCAAAATTATTAAAAAATAAAAAACATTTTTATGACACCATGCAAATATTTACACTGATGCGACTAATGCAGTCTCTATTACTATTGCATGTCCTGTAATATCATATATTCAGATCAGTAGTTTGCTGTCAGTCTATCGGTTCTCTTTTAAAAGTTTAAAAGTAAAAGGTTTGTGGCAAAAACAGAAGAAAACAATATATAAATTTCAGCCTTTTTTAAAAATATTTTCACAACAGTCTGCTGAACAACATTCAGTCAGTGCATTTCAGTGCCTGTTGTGAAGTTCGGCAGCCTCCTCTTCTTCGATCCAAGGGACAGACGATGCTGCAGAGCGTTGAAGAACTCTTGAGGAATGTGGTACACCAGAGACTGGGGCTTCCCTGGAAACAGGGAGAGATGGAGACAACGATGACCAAGAGCCTCACTTACATATTAAACTCTCTCTTCTTCTGAGACACAGATATGTGAATATAAACACAGCTTCAAACTGAGTCTGATTTCCCGATGTCACTAAAGCGTGTAGCTAACCATGTGTTAATGTTACCGTCAGACTGATAGTGCATTGTCTGGTGAATCCTCTCTGTCACACCGGCCAACCACTGCTGGAAGTCTAACGTCACCGTACGCTCGTACATTGCCTGTGAACCGGCTGACAAATAAACACCCACATAAATGTTATTACACAGAATAAACAGCAGGAACAGTGGTAGAACAAGCCTATTTCACACCTGGGGCAAAAAAGAAACCCTACTCCCTGGGAGTTTTTAATTCCCTGGAACTACAGTCAACACATATGACAAAAGTTTGAAATAATTTCAGATCAAAATAAGTACATAGAAGCCATACATTAAAATCTATAGAATTTAATGTACATACTGTATGTATTTTATACCACAATTGTAAAAGTACCAGGGAGAGATTCGTCCAGTCGGAATTTCTTTCCTTTATGTAGAGAGCTGGACGCTTCAGTTTGCAGAAACTTCTCACTGGTAACAGTCAGCTGAACACCTGAAATACAAACAACCAGAGATACATTTTTCAAAAACAATGAACAAATCATAACAGTCTGTACTTCTATAAGACTTAAAACATAAGCTACAAGTATGATTTGCGGAATAATAATTAAAAGAAAACACTAAAATGCTGTAAGACAGGGAAACATATTATACATATATTATTATTATACATATTATTGTGTTTATTTAGATATTAGATTTATAACGAAGAAGCATAATTTATCAGCCCAGTCAGAACGTCATGGCTTTTCATATGCTTCCACACCACCCCCTACAGAAAAGAGAGGGGAACTGCATGCTGTCTGTTTACAAAAACTGGACAAAAATGTGGTCTACATCTTCAACATACCACTGGGTGTGTAGCTGATGAAAGGAGCGAACTCAGCAGCCAACTTCTCATCACTTGCGAAGGCACACACACAGGCGTAGAAGTGGAGACATGGTTGCAGTGAGGTGGAGGCAGACTGAAGGGCGGTGGCTCCGCCTGCTCCATCAGCACCTGCTTTGCTTCTTTTGTTGCTGCTGTTGGTCTGGCAGGCACAGTGGAAAACACTCTGCTGCTGCTTCTCTTTGCCCTTTTTCTCACTCTGTGAAACTTCACACAGTCCACCTGCGCCCACAGTGAGATGAAGCAGGCCCAGAGGATGCTGGGAATCCGTGTGGCACTTCACCACCAGCGTGTTGTTTGAAATGCGCTGCACCAGAGGCCCTGGAGACTCTGTGGCCAGCCTCCACAGCTCCTCCCTGGCCTGGATGGAGATCTGCAGACCCTCCAGGACGGAGCTCTTCAGGGTGAGTGGTGTTGCGCTGTTTTCACACTCTATAGCTTGTCTAATGTGAACACACAGGCTGTCAGAAGACTGTTTGGAGCTGTTCACCGCTGATTCGGGCTCCCCTTGATTCGACCTCTGACCCTGTCTGCAGGAGGGCAAAAAACAGCGTCCGAGGTTGATGCGTGTGAGAAGGGTAGCACCATCGCCAGTAGCGATAGCAGTGTCCGTTGGAACCAGTTCCACGAAGCCCATCTGTGTACCTGTGGACCCTCTCCCTCTGTGACAAACTGAAAACACCTGAATTCCTCCACCTGGGCCACCTTCCAGAACTCCTCCCTCTCCTCCTCCACCTTCCTCCTCCTGCTCTTTCTCCCCAATGTCCTCACTGTCTATTATTACTTTTACCACCTCCACGGCACATTTTTTTCTTTTTCCACCTGCTGCTGAGGCATTTCTGAGGGACACTCCACAGGCCTTGTTCTTGCAGCTGAGACCACGGGTGCCATTATAGACACCGCACTGAGGACACTTACGAATGCCACGAAGTGTCGCTCTCCCAAGGTTGGAGAGGAAAGCAGGGGTGGCGGAAGAAATCTTCCTGTTGTCTCGCTGTGTCTTTGCCACTAGATTAGCTGGACCGGTCAGGGACTGTGGCGTTGGAGACGGGACCAAACTGGTTGACAAAGTCCCAGTGACTTCAGTCTTCATTGTAGAGCTTACAGTCTAGCAGAGACTGAATGAGACAACAACCTCGAGGAAAATGCAAAGTGGGGCATTACAGAGACTGAAGGAGACAACAACCTCGAGAAGAGGAAAATGCAAAGTGGGGCATTATAAGAAGAAACTAAGTGTTGCTAACTGTTTTATGGATTACATAAAAAAAAAATTTTTTTTCAGCAGTCAAAAATTAACTTAGTTATTAATATTACTTGGTTGGTACTTTCATAATGATTCACCTGTCAATATGAGGTTTGGCCATCCATACATTGCATAAAAGTAAAATCTAAAGGCTCTGTCATTGAAAGCAAAAACTGTTGTCTGTTTGTCACGCCTGTATTCTATGATACAAGGCAGCATAGAAGCAAAAACAAATTATTCTTGGCTCAAGCTCATCTGGCATAGTTGTGACGACAAACAAAAATACTTTTTTTGGAGTGTAGTACATTAAGAAGCAAGCATTTCCACAAACGTACAACGAATTTTAAATATTCTATATCATACTTAATTATATAGTATAGGTTAGTATATAATATTTTTAAAAACATATCTCAGTACATTGGCGCTATGTGTCAAAACGACATTAACAAATTAGAATAAAAGTGGGGAGGGGGAAAAAAAGTTTGAAAATTTAAAATCACTGTGATAATACTGTAATTAAATCCACACCGTCTTCCTAAGTTTTACCGTGTATGTGATTAAAATTACAAGCCTATTCCCATGCAGCAGCTACAGGTGCCGGTTACGTGAGGTATAGGGGTGTGTGGGGAACAGCAACGTTCAAACTCACTGTGCTCGGCTTCTGTTTGCCTCTAAAACTGTCTCAACCGTCGCCATTCCTCCTTACATCCAGACAACCGCATTGCGCCTGTAACGACACTCCTCATTGGCCAGAGTCTGTCACGTGAACAACACAGCGTAGACATAGCGTAGCGTGTAGTGGGCGAGGCCTGAGTGAACGTTATGTTCCAATGGCTCATGGGATTTGAGGTTTATATCTATTGACGTCCATAGATAAATGTAAAAAGTTTATAAACTATCGTCTGCTGTTTATAACGGTAGTTTCTGGCGTTAGACGATATAAAGGTGATTATGATATATATTTTTTCTACGTGTAGACATTTATTGCTTAACCCGACTGCGAAGCTACTGTTTCGCCACAATCATCGTTGCTTAAGAGGCTTCACTAACAGAGATCCTGGTTAAATAAAAACAAACAAACAAAAAACAAACAGTTGTTTGGTCATGCACTACAATGATGAACAGACGAAGGACTGTGTTATGTGTGCCTCTTCTGAGAAACTTAATTGTAGGACTGTGTTATGTGTGCCTCTTCTGAAAAACTTAATTGTGAAGTCAGTTGGGAACTGTTTAAAACTACGTATATAGACACAGTCTACTGCTGGTCAAGGACGTTAAAACTACTAGCATCTACTGCAGAGAGAAAACCAAGTTATTAGCTGTTTACAAACACCTCATAGAAAGTCCTTTAGTCAGCCAAATAAGGCTAATACATCATCGAAGAAAAGTTGGCATTGTTAATAAAATTGCCTATGAAATAACAAAAAAAAAATAGAGAAAAGGCCCAATTTTTTAACCTGTCCAGATACTTTGGATCTCAACAGTTAACCCATTTCCAGAAAATATGCTTTACTTTGGTCTGAAAGTGTGCCGCAAAATCTATAAACAAAACTATTGTTTGGACAAAACAGAAAAATGTGTCTCACAATACACTAGTCCTTCAAACAAACCAAACTAAATATTTGCAGTTAACCCATTTCCAGAAAATATGCTGCTAAATATTTGAAAAATAAAATAAATTTAAAAAAAAACATCTCAAAAACTATGCCAAATGTCCTATATCGCTATTGATGAAGTTCCTCCTTTAGCAATTATTCTAACCATCTTGTACAGGTAAGGGGATGGGGAATACAAAGTATTGCAAATTCACCTGGTTCACGTCATATAAAAAAGTGTGAATATGTGCTCTTTGAAGCATCAGCATTTTAATAGGACAAAACAAAAACACAAACCATGTGACTGAAGCATTAACACAAACCAACCTGAACAAAACCTAGGTTGAAAACATTTGTAGGCACCGCCTCCCCTCACACGTTTTTGGTTAAATTAAAAGTAATTCTTTGATGATAAGGCAACACAACAGATTCCTCGACTACATTAAAAAATAACGGCGGCCTCAGTGCAAAAATCTAATCCTTGTGAGGTTGTTTGTCTATTAAACAATCTTTTTTTAAGTTTAAAGGAGAATAACTTAAATGAAGAATTACTCATCAGCCTAAAGGCCTTTACATTGCATGGCAATGCTGCTTGTCCGGAAGAATCAGATGCTGCACCGTCTCTACTGTACACAGACCAGCACTGGACAGGGAGGCTACTGTCAAACAGCCATTTCTGAACTCTATGACCACAACAAGAAGCGAGCGTGCTTCTGTCTATACAGGCTGTCTTTATACAGATTCAGTACAATTGAACAGAAGGTCTTGGTATTTACATAAAAACAGACGTCCAAATGAAATTACAAAAGGTGGAATGCAAAAACATAAAAACCTATTATTTCAAATTAATGCGAAAAAATACCGTTAGTATTTGTGCAATAGTTGTCTGCCTAAAGTAAGAGTGGCAGTAGTCCCTGCAATTTGAGATATTGAAATTCTAATTTTAAAAACACGGTCAACAGCCACTAGTGTCTTAGAAACAAACGGAATAGGGTTCATCACGTCACATGGTGTCACGGCGACATTTCTTTAGAAGACAGTCCTGAAATGAAACAACAGAAAGACAGGAGCTCTTTCTACAACACCATTATTTTAAATTCGTTCAAAACAAATAGGGCAACTGAAGATTTGTATCTGTAACAAAAGAGGAGGGGAAAAATGGTGGTGAAGTCCTTTCCTGTCTCAGGGTAAAGATGAACTGGACATCGTATTGTGTGTAAAATCAGTTCATGCACACACACGTAAGCACACACACATTTCTTATCTTCAGACTGGATTGCCAGTCGTTCCAGTCCACTCAGGGAGACAAAGTCAGATCAAATCTACTTGATTTTTTTTTTCTTCCCTGGAGCCTGTCTACTTCTACTGAGCGATTTCCTACGTTTCACAGAATGACTTTACAACACCCTGAGGACTTACTTGACTTCTGTTTCACGTTAGTAGCAGGAGGATGAACCATGATTTTCCAATTAAGCTTAAATACAAAAAGGTTACACTCGACTAGACGTTCGTCTTGTGGCTGTGATGTATCACGATAGACTGTTGTATTTTTTTTTTTTTGTGGCAAAGTTTGTTCACGGCTCTCCTTCCTCTTTGATTGTTGAAAACTGTTCTCACTCTGCCCTTGCTCACTGGCTCTGACGGGGCTGAAAAACAAAGTAGATCCGCTGTCTTTGAACTTGATTACTGCAGATTTCATTTAAACTGATAAGGATTACGATCACAATGTTTACACTTGTGCCAAATAATAAAATGGGCCCAGGAATAAACAGTGGATTAGCAGTAGTTGTTCTTATAGTGTACAAGTGTTCTGGAGTAGCAGATTTGGGCAGTGGGTGGACTGACTGGCTGGTCAGGTGGATTAAAAAGAAATGGCACACCGGGCCAGCCGAACAGAATACTTTGAGTAGTAGCAGAGACAGCACATCTAATGCACTTCCTCCCCAGCAGAGTATCATCCTTGTGACCTCAGAGGCTCAGAGTGAGGGCTACTGTGATTGGAGATCAGTGGGTGTGGTAGCTGGCGGCACTCATTCCAGCCTGGTTGGTTAGCATTGTTCCGTTGACCCCCTGACCAGGCTCCACCATGCCACAGTTACTCATCGTGCCCACACCTGTCCATCCAGCACCAGCATGTAAATGACTGAGAAAGAGGTGAAAAAAAAACAATCCTTAAGGTCAAAAACACAAGAAAGGTAGCCCCAGCTAAGGAGATGATCGCAAATATATTAGTTAGGGTTATATATTCATTTTAACACCAAAGAAAAAGGCTGTTCATCAGGAGCTGTGAACTCCAAGTTTCATCATTAATTTTCTTTTCATTGTCTTTTGCACTTCTTGTATGTTTCAAACGACTGTTGGAACAATTTGAGACCATAGTGTACTTTGCTAAAATTAAACAAAATTTGTGTCTATGAGTAAATCAGTTAAATATAATAATAATGATATTTTCACAGATTTCTCTTTTGTTGTGATTTTATGCCTTCTCTGGTACTTACTTGTAGCCCTGCTGATCCCAGGTCTGTCCATACACTCCATAGCTTGGCACCTGCCACCCATTGGGCACGTACTGGCCAATCTGTTGCGTGTTACTGTACCACTGGCCCCATTGGTTGTAGGGCTGTGGTGTGAAGCTCACCGTGTTCTGCTGACATACGGAATAGTATTTTTAGGAGACAGAATATCGAGTGACCGAAGCTGCAGAATCACACAGCTCTAACTGTAGGGCGTCACACGCAAATGAACGTGAACTGTTACACCAGCGCCACCCACAGGTCAACTACGGTGTGTTCAAGAAGATCCTTGTCCATACCTGTGGCACGTGCACCTGCTGAATGGGGCTGACCATGTCTGCCGTTTCTTTGCCCCAGTAACACTTTACGATGTAACCCTCTATGGACGTGCCATTGACGGACACGATGGCGTGAGCGGCCGCTTCATGGGAGTTGAACCTACATGTGCGAGGCGATACATTTAAATGTTTAAATTGCACCTTAGAGATCTGAGGTGTGAAAGTTCTACATGTCCATCAGACAAAAGTACCTTATGAAGGAGTAGCCTTTGTCTGGGAAAACTCGGATTTCCATTATAGGACCAAAGGGTGAAAAGGTCTCTCTCATAATTTGTTCTGTGAATGAAAATGAGTCGTTAGTTCACTGGTGAGCAAGGCTTCTTTATCCACATTCTTCATCTGAATGACTGACCTGTTAGACCTGTTGTGACTCCTCCGCAGTAGACGGTGCAGTTGCTGGGGCTGGACTGACCCACCACCTCATCGAAACACAGCTGCTTGGTGCTAGTTGCTACAAAGAAAGGTAGCAGGATTTAGTCTATTGTTCAAACCCAAGTTTTTTTTCAGGAAAAACATCATCATTATCAAACTCTATATATTTTTATTTGTAGATAATGTTCCCCTATCCCCTGTAAAATAATGTCTAATGACATTAGAGATCCAGCCCATTAACACATCTTCATTCTTTCACTGTGAACTTACGCTCATTTGAGGTTTTGGGAGCAGGCTTTCTTGTGGCCCAGTTGGTTCTGATCTGCCTGCCTCCCAGCCACTGCCCTCCCATCTGCTGTATGGCATTCTCTGCATCCTGAACAATCAAACACAGCCTGATGTAAATGTTACACAAGACATATTTCACATTACTAATAAGACTAATTCCATTTGTGACAGGAATGTACAGACGTGCCACAGCACAAAAGACGGATCAATAAAACCATAAAGTAAAAAAAAAAAAACTGTTCAGGTATAAAACAGGAACAGGTCATAAAGAAACACAGTTAACCTTCATTTTTATCTCTGCAGCGCAGCGTTCATTATTTTTATTCCTCATGTCAAACGTGAGCAGCACACAGGACAGCAGCCAAAAACAGAACTCAGAGCCAAAAAGCGCAGCACCCTTTCAAAATAAAACCCCCGCAGCGTCTCCACCAGATTATCACTGAGTCACATTACATATCCTATTCACACAGGAGACGCATTCTTATATTGGGTGCTGGAACACCACTGCACGTTGGAAAAACATTTAAACTAGCTAACTGACACGAGAAAGACTGGATGGAAGTGATATACAGTATATGCAATGAGAAAGACTCCACTATTTTGACCGAAACATAGGAAGTACAACAATAATATTTTTTTAAAGAGAATCTGCTGAAGCACAGAAGCATTGATGACACACTCACCCATTTGTTAAAGAAAGAGACAAAACCGTAGCCTTTAGATTTTCCTGTGGCCATGTCCTTCACCACTCGACAATCCCTGCAGACAAACATATGAACAAATACATACATTACATTCAAATAATCACATTTCACCAAATCGTAAATGAAACGCCGATCGAGCCTTTCACACATTTACAGTTTCAGTATCCAATCTGTATGGCGTATGGAGTCTCTATGAGAGCAGTTCCCAGAATGGGGGGTGTGGAATTATATTTAGTTTTTTTTTTAAATTTGTACCACAGTAGGAAAAAATTACTGATCTGGAATATTATTTTCCTTTTTACAGTGAGATTATGCAGAACTACTGAGATGTGTATTGTATTAAATAAAGTTCAGTGGAATGAGGACGTGAGGACTTGGGCTGGTGTTGTGAAGATGTTGGAAACTTAATGGTTCACATTTCTCATCACATAATTTAAAAAGATTGCAGCGAAAGACAGACTATTAACATAAATGAACTCATTGAACTTACGATATTTTGCCAAAGGGAGCGAACGCTGATTTGATATCATCTGTTGTGATTTCAGGACTTAGATCCCCAACAAAAACATGGAAATGACCTAGAACACAAAAACATTAACCCTGTAGTTCAGCTGATTGGAGGTCCATGACTTACGCTGGTGTTGGGTTTTTATCCGAGGACCCCCTTAATGTTTTCCACAGTAATATTTTTTTCTTTAGAATGTTCTATTATTTAGAAGACAGACTCACTGCTTGTGTCTTTCTTCTGACTGGTTGGTGTTGTGGCCCAGTTGACCTTCACCTCCTGAAAAAAGAAAATGAGCAGAGAGTGGGGAAGGAGACAAATGTTAAACAACGTAGAGCTGTTGATGACAGGAAGGTGCTTTTTTGTCATAAGATCTTCTCACACCACTTTCATTTAATGAGAACTAGTTTTTCAGAACTACACATTGATCATTAGCCTAATTTTACAAACCGCTGCATTCATGAATTTAAAAAAAAGAAAAAAAAAAAGAAAGAAAAAAACACAAGTGGAGAAAGTCAAGGGGTATCAAAAATTCCACCCTGATAATCAGGGACATTTCACTCTCAGTCTAATACAAATTTGGAGTAACACTGAAGGAAGGAAGGTCCAAATAACAAGGGACTTACAAACAAGTGATTTATACGAACTTGTTATACTCCTCAAATGGTCCTTCAATACCTGTTGAGGATAAAATATTTTCAACTGAATGTATTCTTCTTGAAGTTGCTCTTATGTGGAATCTAACTTTGCATAAAGAACACACAGCAGTAAAGATGTAAGTGGGAGAAAGGAGTATCAGGAAAATAGATCAATGAATCTCACAGGTAGCATGGTTACACAGCCGGGCAACGTAAAATATCAGGTCAAACACTCTATGTCAGAGGAAACTTTACACACACACACGCACAGCATAGAGAAGGGAGTAATGACAGAGTAAAACTAACAATCTGTTCAGACCTTTGTAAATCTGCATTGAAAAAACTTTAAACTTTAAATCCTGATAAGTTGAGCTTACCTTATTTAATGGAAATTATTGTGTTAATAAATGATGCTAACATTTTTTTCCCCCAAGAAAATCTGTAACTGCCCGAAAAATAAAGACTATTAAACTTAGAAACTTGTTCTATTTTTGTTGCAAGAAAGCATCTATCACGGATCAGGCAAAAACAGCAACTTTTTTTGCTAGTTAAGATGTGACAGGATGAATAAGCAATTTAATTGGAGGGAAATTGTCAGCACAGTAAATACACATTTCTGTTACATCCTTAACATCTGGTTACTAAAACTGGAACAGAGGGATCTACATTTGTAATCACTAGAGAAGAAATAAAAGGAAAATAAAAGGAAACAATGCCATGAATATTTACATGTTAATTGTTAACAGAAAAAAAATTCAATAGTGCTGCAGAATATCGATACAATATCTTGGAACAAAATATCACAACATATTGGCCTATTGATATTTCCTCACACCCCTAAAGAAAAAAACAAAATCAAAAATAAAATGAAGGGTTCTGAAAGGAAGAGTACATACAAACTAAGAGATTAATAAAGGAGTCGTTTTGCTAACAACTGCAACGCAAGATATTCAAGCATCTAAGAAAAGCTGAGGTCCTCAGTGTTTGCTTATCAGACAAGATATTCAAGCATCTAAGAAAAGCTTTGTAACAGCCCGAGGTCCTCAGTGTTTGCTAAGAACTGTGACATTAACAATTAAAATGTAAGCACCACGTCAGCACAACCAAACAAATAAATACAGCTCTAACCATGTGTGTTTTTTCTTCCACATTGATAAAGATATTTTTAATTTTTTCAGGATCATGTTGGAAAAGAAAATCTTGTTGAGGCCATGATTTATTTTTGCTTCGAGAAAAGGTTTCCCTAGAGACCACAGTCAGATAATTGTGTTGTTGTTTCCACCCGGGGTCACTACACTGCATGCACATGAGTCTAATGTGTACAGAGGAAAAACATTAAATGAAGCAGAAACTGTAAATAACATTAGTAAGACAAGGTTCAATAACATTAAAGTTTTTCCAGATGCTGTATGTATGACTGTACCAGTACCCAGCCCCGACTCACCCTGGAGTTACGATAGCTTACCTTACCAAGTATTTTCCGACCATTCATGGCTGCAATTGTGGCAGTGGCATGTCTGTGTTCACAGAACTCCACAAAGCAGTATGGATCGTGACCTGCTGTCTGCAGAGCAAAGAAAAGACTGGAGTAAGATTCTAGTGCTCTTTAGGATATTGGATTACTTTGGAACACTGATATAAAGCCGCTGCTTATGTTCAGATTTTACAAACCATGTGCTTTTTTTTCTGTGGTAGGTAAACAAAGACAACAGAACTTACATCTACTATCATTTTACAGCTCTTGCACGGTCCAATTTGGCCAAATACCTCCAGAATCAGAGCCTCTGTCACGTCTCGGGACAGATTCCCCACATACCTAAATACAAAGAAGAAATATGAGAAAACCAAACAAGTCTCTGCTTTTTCAAATCCCAGGTGAAATACAAGAGCAGGTAACTAGATACACAACAAGGTGGCAGGAGACAAAAATTGCAATACAAAAAAAACAAAATATAAATGCCCCTACTACTAACGTCTTCTCCTGCTGTCCTAAAAATATTTCTTTGATACATGAGACCACATTAGTTTTGTTAATAGCTAACAGGATAAACAAGTAGTCCACATGTCCACAGTGCACACTTCCAATCCACATATTACAGAAGAGTAAACCATAACAATTATTCAAACCTTTGAAACTTTCGTAATCACAAATACCTCTCAAAAATATAATTAGCCATAAATGTCTTGCTAAATGCTCCATTCATTTTGAAAGTTTGGACATCGAAGGATTATATTGTTTTGTTTTTAGCATTTTAAGAACCTTATGTCCGTGTACTTTACTTTAAAGATATCAATATTAATAATAACTTGATTTCTGAATAAATGTGATTACAATGTGTCAATGTGCCAGTATTGGGACTAATATGAAAGTACGACAATCCAACATGGGAACAAAAAGAAGACCTACTTTTACTACCTACATTTTTTCTTTTTTTTAATTTTAGTTCAGTGTCCACTACACATCACGTCATATTAGATTAAGACTATACAACCAGTATAATAATTATAACAAGAGCAGTTCACATATTGTGCAGATGCGATCAACACATTGTCGCTAATACAGTACATATAGTTTTAGCTACTTCCCTAGCTACCCGTTTTCCTAGGTTCTAAAAATGCTAAAGAAACTGAATTAATTCCATCCTTTTATTAGGAGTTCTTGTAACAAGCCAAATAACAATACCTATCTATCGGTAACGTTTAAGCTGCGCCAAACACAATTTGAACGGTTGTTTGTTTAATGTTCTTCGGAGAATCGTTAGGCGGATATTTTGGCTATTTGTTGCAAATTGTCATTTTTTTTATTTACAAAACGCGGCAGAAGGCCAGCTAACATGTGATTTACTTTGAGTAAGTAAAACATTCTGTTGTAGTACACTAAACGTGTGAACAGCAGCGTTTATCATCTTGGGATTTTTCTAGAATTAGCCAGGTACCGTTAGTCGCTGCTGGGGTAAACATTTACACACAGCCGTATGTTTATTGTGTGTTAAATATGTGTGTTATTTTGCTTTTACGCAAATCCAAAGTGTTTATAATTTTTAAGTGTTTATGCCGAAGGAAAATTTCGTGGGTTGACTGAGTTCGTTGTGTGAGATTAGCTTCCACTGCCCGTTAGGTGACGAACACAAGCAGTTAGCTGGCGCTAATACTAAACCAGGCCCAGGCACACTTACAGGGTTTTGGGCTGGTCATCGTCCATTCTGTTACACTTGCCGGCCGAGAACAAGTCGCAACTCTAAGAACAAATCCACGACTGTCAGGGGCAGCTGCCTGTGACACCGTCGAGTTGTTTTATTGCGCAGCACGAAGCGATTTTCCGCCGTTGATGTCTCCACAGTGAACAATGGGTTAGCCGACAAAGATAACGGACTAACCGGGCCGGGGCAGTACGCGCACGCGCAGTAGTTCTCTGAACGTCTGTTTATGGATTAAGGACACTGACTGGTGGTACCAGCTCTTCCTTTCTATTTAAGTAAACATGATAAGCACTGCGGTTTTAAAGAGTTTTTCCACATTTTTCAGTTATTGTTTAATTGTTTATAAAACAAAAACACAACCTTATCATCAGTTGCTTAGCACCTGTACTTTAATACAGTATATTTCGTGTTTTATTGATCAGCTAGGTTGGTGACTGAGTGGCCCTATGGCATCACAGAAGAGTTAACTTTTTGTTCATTTCAGAGTTAACAATTGCAACAGTCTTTTTGAACCTACGATCTGACATGGGTCAAGGACACAACTCTAATGTCCCAGTCTGTGATTATTCATAAAAGGACACATTTGTCTGTGATCTGGTTGTTTACACACAGAACACTCCAGAATCATTGGCTCTACATTTTTTATGTACACTGCAATCTCCACTGCAAACTACAGTAGACACAGGAATCACAGGACAACAAACCAGAGTAAAAATTATATCCATGAAAGTTTATTTAATTAATTTATCTTTTTAACAGCTTTACCCTGTTAAAAAGCCTCTCCTCCAGTTAACAAATGTAACAATTTGTACATTTATGTGTTGAAATCAGCAAACACAAAAATAGATAAATAAAACAATAAACTATTTTAAGACCTGAAAAGTGAAGGTCTGGGATTTTATACAACATATTTCTAAAACAACAGTTTTCTTTAAGTTCAGTAAAAAGCAAAAAATATCTATATACAGTTAAATCAGCCCTTTTTGTTTGACCAGCTTTAAACAGTTAATCATAATATAATTACAAAAAGACAAAGTGAAACTTTACATTTTACACATTACAAAAACAAACGTTCAAACTCAAACACTGTCATTACATTGTTGACAGATACATAAATTACATTCAATTGTGGGGAATTAAAAACACTAAGAATCCAGATGTTACTATGTCTATATGCTGACAATGCCACAGATTTATAATACAGTTCTGTGCCTTTTGTACAGAGATGAGTTCTGCCTCTTCTCTGCTCAGTCCTTTCGTCATCTCGGGCAGATGTTGTAATCAGTGACAAACTTCTCCAACCTCTTGATTTTGCGTTTGTTTTTGGGCATGGGTTTGTCATACAATCCATTTTTCAGTAGATGCTCCTTGCTGTGATGAACCTGAGCGCCATGCTGCAGCTGGAAGGAGCAGAGGGCTGTCAGCGGTCTCAGCAGAACCTGGACAAAAACAAAAACACTTGCATTGAAGCTACAATCATTCTGAACATTTGTACTTTGGAATTTGATACAATAAATTAATGCTTATACCTCTTGGATGTCATTGTTCTGTTCAAGTATAGACAGTGCTACGGCGGCGCTTTCCAGCGTTGACAGACAAATGTTGGTGGGCTGCGTGCGAATGACGTACTGACTCGTCAGAGTCCTATTGAGCTGCACCTGAAGCAATGCAGATGTACAAGAGTACAACTCAACCACCAACTCTTACAGTGATCTTTTGATTTTTCATTAAAGCTCAGGTCTACAAGTCAGAAAACAAGCTATAACAGGCCACACCAGAGTTAGATAAGTGTACAAATCTCAAATTTTGAAGGAAATAACACCTTCCTGGGTCACACATGTAAAGGAATAAAAGCATGTGAATATATATATATATATATATATACATACACATACTTGTTTAGGCAGGTGGAGCAGTTTGTTATGAAGGAACATCTTCTTCGCCTGTCTCCAGGTGCCGTCGATGATGATGATATTATGTTCTACAGTCCCTGCTTCTTTGGGTTTAACCAATTCCTCCAGGTTCTGCGACTTTGGACCTGGAAACAGAATTACTGTCCTGCTGTCCCGGCACACAGCAGCCAGCTCTGGATGCCTGAGTAGAAAAAAGTATATTTGAGAATTTGTGTTGCAATAGGTTGTTTTTTTTTTTTGGAGTGAGACAAAGGGCAAATGTTTAAATTGTATCTCTTCATATACAAAATACAAATGGTCTATGAAAAAGGGTAGTTGTTAATTGAAACTTTTTATACATTTTACTTCGAAGAGGCACACGCTACTTTTTTTTTTTCCTCCCACCAAAACAACTCTTACCTTTCTTCACTAAACCTCCTTCCAACAATCACATTGCATTTCCCTTCAGGCAAACAAGCAGCAAGCAGTGGTACTGTACGGAGTACTCTGCTCTCCTGACAACATAGGAGATATTTGACATTTTAGTCACAACCACAAAGGAAACAGGACATTGACATTTTCTAAAAACTCCTCACATTAATGACATTGGTCTCCTGGAGACCTTTAGGTACTCACCTCTGCTGGATGCTGCACTACATACACACACGTGGAGACCTCCAAGGATTGTTGGGGGAGAAAAGGGCACAAGCACACTTTCTCGGGGCGACTACAAGAGAGACAGAGAGAACGTCACAGTCACTTTCCCATTCATTCATTCATTCATTCATTAAATATACCAGCTACTGGTACAGCCAACAGGTCACTTCCCTTGCATGCTTGCACAGCTAGCTACATAGTACGAGCCGCACATTCACATTTAGCTCACCAGCAGCGTAAACACGTCGGTCTCCTCTCGTCTACCTCACAAGGGAGGGCGGCCAGGTCTCCAAAAACACCAACCAGTTCGTTTTCTTCCGAGGACTCGTCGCAGGATTCAGGTTCACTCTCTTCGGAAACGACCGAGGAACACGGACTGGGCTCACATTCCATAATGACGTGTCCAAAATTAAAACTTATTTAAGAACTTTAAAACACTGACTTTATTTTCCCTTCCACACTTCACCCCGGAGGTCGGTGTAGACCCGGCCCTCCTACCTATCTGATTGGCCAATGAAGACGATCGGGGTTAGTGATAGGATAAGGCATAAAGAAAGATGATTGGTTTTTGCTACGGAACACTATCACGCTCACCGTATCACACAAAACCAGAGGCGGGACCTTGTTCACTTTCATTTCCAGGTCAAGAATGGTCGAGGAATGGAAAAAATAACTCGAAAGAAAACTTTATTATATGGGAAATAAATAATTTTAAAAACTTCCAGAAAAGTTAGTAAACATTTCATAAATGTCCAAAATATTTTATTTTTTATTTATTCTATTATTATTATAATATTTATTATTTATTTTATTTTATTATTAAAATAGCTCATGTTGTCAGACAAAATGCCAAAGACGTTTAAAATATTATTACCGACGTAAAAACACAAATCACAGTAAAACATAATCAATACAGTTCAATAAGTGGGGGCAGACAAGTACACCACTAGGTCACAGTCCACCGTGTTAAGTGTTTTTTTTTTTTTTTGTCTGCAACAGTAACACTTGCCTTATACCTAATACTTCCTCAAGATGGCGGTGCAGGATAAAAGAGCAACAACTTCTAGGAGGCCAAAAATGATGCGGACACATTTCATGAAACATGTATACCACAGCTCTATCTATGGGTTGGACAGGCCTGGCCAAATAACCTGCAGGTTATACTCTCAGAGGTATGACCTTCAGCCTGAAAATCTGACCTATCACCTGTCTGAAAAGAAGTATTTTACTGCTACATGGTCATGGTGCGGTGAAGAGACGTTAAGGTTTGTAAGTCATCAATTATGGTTTATGAAATATAAATTTAAGTTCTCTTGTAGAAACAGACAGACAGCTTTTTAGCATCATGTATTGTAAAACTACAAACACAGAGGTCAGCATTAAAATCTGGACTCTAGGAACAGGAAGTTAGAGTGAGTTCACCAAACATGTATTTTTGATCTCTACACATTAGTAACAGAGAAGACCTTTGCTTTTGATTCTTTTTTTTAATGTTGCAACCTGAAGACCGATGCAGGAAGACAGATATCTCAGCATGCCACTGGACAATGCAGAAGAACAAAGGCCTGACTGAAGCTGTGGTTTGAGACGGGAAGAGATTGGAAAACACTTTAATGATACAATGCTTGCTCTCATCCAACAAACATGTACAGAACTGGTTCTATTGTGTCAGGAGCCCCAGTAGACCACTGTGTAAACATCCCCTCTACCCCACCACGACTATATTCAGAACCTGAACAGGAAGTGATTTCACAGCCAGTCTTTTCCTCAGTCTTCCTCTCTCAAGTGTTGAACATTCCCAGCAGCAGACCTCCCACAGCAAGGAAGTGGATGATGGAGAGAGGGGCTCTGCTGAGCCTGTGCTTCATAAAACACACCTTTACTGAACACAATACATCCATAAGTCAGATTACAGTGTCGTATAGCATAAATACCATGAAATAAAACACGTGAGTTTTTGTTTTGCTTTTCACAATGATTACATATATTAGAAAGTTTGAACATCTGTCTTCATGAAAACAATATAATACTTTAACCTGACTTGCACGGACCCCTACTGGAACACGAGGGTATTACAGGATGTACCTGAAAATGCTTGTTTAAAGTGAAACCAATTGATTTTTATTCGTGGTAATATTTGTTTTGAGTTTCATATAACGAATGTAGAATAATATTCATTTTTATTGAGTTCATTCGGGACACATGACACCTGCTGTAATTTTTATTGAGTTCATTCGGGACACATGCTGTATATAGGCGCATTTCTAATAACGCTCATTTTTCTTTCTGTGAAAGAGTATGTTTTTTTTATACTAAATGCAGATACATTGACTTGAATACACTTATTTACCTTTTGAAAATAAATAACACTGAGCCAGTGACATGGCAGAAATGTCATGCATATGGGCATTTAACATGATCAAGACAACTGGCTAAATTTCAAACTGGACATCAGAATGGCATAAAGACAATTTAGGGAACGCAGGCCTTTGGTTGTTTGTGTGCAAAAAAATATATACAACTACATATACTTAAAGAGGATAAAAATGTTGCAGCTGTAAAATGCCACATTATTGGGGAGAGCGTCTTTACATTTGAAAGAAATAGACTCTATCCCACATTTCAACCAAACCTATAAACCAGAACATTAATGAACACTAAAGTTAAGGTGATTAATAACTGGATCAGATTCAGGATTGAATATTAACCACGTTTTTCATCTGCCATCTGTTAAATCCCGACTGGCAGGGGAATTAGAGACCAACCTGCCGCTGACTGAGAAGTAAAGGATGAAAAGAGGAAACTCTAAATAAATAAAAGGAGGAAAGCAGTCAGTGGGGGTGAGAAACAAACAAACACGGGGCTATAGTTTTACACCCACCTGCTCCGCCGGCTGTCTTGCATCAGCTCCTGACGGGCTACCAATCACTGGCCCCAAATTTTTACTAGGCTGGGAGTTGGGAGGTTGGGGGTGGGGAGGCTGTATCTTCAAATCAAGGACCCACATGGCAGTAAAATTTCATGTTGGGTACTGAGTACAAGATTAGTTATAATTATTATCAGTTACTAAATGACAAGAAAGCAACTGACATTACAATATTTAACAATATAATAAATACATGATTAATTATCACTATAATATAAATATATATAAATGAATGGATAAATAAATAAAAAATAGTAAATTAAAAAACAATAATATTTCACATTATTTCAATTAACTACAAATTATTAAGCTCTTGAGGCATACAAAACACACACACACATACACACACACATCACGTTTCTAGAAGCCGTGACATAAAACAAAGAGATTCAGTGACGACACCAAAGGCCCAGCTGTGAGATAAGCAGTAGACGTTTTTCTCTGACGAAGATGGAGAGTGTGAGGGTCACGTGCGACCTTTACGCCCGGTATCTCTGAGAATCCTTTTCATTTACCCTCTCACTCCTTTATTTCCCTGATCACCCCCTCCTCTCTTCCCTTCGTCTCTCTCACACAAAACATACAAACAGAGATAAGAAGTGGAGAGGACTCACAGGTTCGAGTCACGGTGCAGCGATTGCTTCGTGAAAGTGCAGACGGCAAACAGAACCAAACGACAAGATGGACTTGAAGATAAGAGCTGCTGATCAATGACTGGAAGCACCATCTGTACGACTGTGTGACTGGAGGGTGGCTGACGTCCACCCATACAGTGTCCCACTGATGTAGTACAACATAGTATAATGTACTGTATACACGTGTGCCTGAAAGGTGGTGGCTACTACAAATTCTGTAAAAACAAAAAAAAAACTGTATTAAATAATCAGGTAAAACCAGTGTTTACTGTGTACAAGTATTTTCTCTAAATTGGAAGTTAATGGCTACTACAAATTCTGTAAAAACAAAAACAAAAACATTATGTTCCAAATGAAAAGGCTATATAGTCTATAGTTAGATTACTTTTTTATTTTGAAAATGAACATGTGATTTTCTGGAAAATATTTTTCTAAATCTACATTATGCCTGATACCGGGAGTCCTCGGTTTACGATGCTCTCGAAATGTAGCCTGTTGTGGTCACATCGCCATCTCTCATAAAAAATAAAACAAAATCATTTTTAAAAAAAAATATTTTGATAAAATCTTAATTTTGCATCATGTGGTCAGATGGTGAAAACTTTTGATGATCATTTTTTGGGGGAAAAAAAATTATAAATTGTATCTTTTTTCCACGTTTCTCATCAAATTAGAGCATTTTGAGAAATTTTTCAGAATTTTTTTTTTTTAATTTTTTGGTAAAATCCAAATTTTGCTTGTCATGTTGTCAGATGGTGAAAAAGTTTGATGAAAATTTTTGGAAAAGAAAATTCTAAATTTTGTTCAAAATCACGTGACATACTGTAGGTACCCCGTCTTACAGTATTACGTCGCACCATAAGAATGGAATTCTGCCATAAGTCGAGGACCCACTTTAGATACAGTTACATACAAGTAAAGTAGTAGGTGTCTGAGCAGATAACTGGACCACATCCAAACACACATATATACTAAACTCCCTGTCCTCTGTAGCCTCTGATGGGGCCTTCTCATGTGAGACCTGTTTCAGTTTTCAGCCTGATAAATCCCTGAGCGCAGACTGACAGGCTCTCTGGAAGACGGATGGGCCTGGAGGAATGAGCTAAAAGGGGGGACTTCACTGCACTCCTCAGGGCAGGAGCAGAAGGAGGGAGTCACAGCAGGGGTCATCGTCACCGCCTTTAAATCTTTACAGAAAAGTTACCAAATGCACCCCAGTCGTACAGGCTAGTATTCTGGAGGGAAACCTGAACTCCTTCTCCGTGTGTGTGCTCATGTGATCGAACCGTGGGGGTTTTCTCCTGTATGGGATGTCAGCACTTCATCATGGCTTTCATTCAGACATTTCTTTTTAGGAGAACTGTTTTCCCGTGTATACATTACATGTTGGGTAACGGTGCAGATGGTGCCAATGACAGAGACCCCGGAGAATGATTAAGAGGTGCAGGGACAGAAACATGGACGTCTGCATCTGCAGAGCAGGAAACCTTCTCGTCAGGCTTGTTGTTCCGTGTCCTTGAAAAGCGTCAGCGCCCTGTGTGAGTCGTTGAAGGACAGATTGTGTTTCCTGTAGGAAAGTAGAATGTATACTCAGTACTGGGCCACATTCCTGTACTTGTAAACATTTATTAGATACCCTTCCTTTGGAAACTCTTCTCAGGTATTTAAAGCCAATGTGATGAGCTGTTACAGGAGGTCTGCCTCCCCATGACTGGGAAACAAGCTCAGTCTCTCGGCCCTGCTGCAGTCTCCCGACGGTCCCTCCTATGGTCTTCGACCCATAGGTTTTCTTTAGGACAGTATCCCATGCCGTATGTGGTTACCAATAAAAAAAACGAGAAAAAGTACAAACCTGTCTAGAAATATTGCCCAAGAACAGTGAATACCATGGAAGGATCACATGGCCCTAAAGCCCCTTACTCATGTAATCACCCGTGGGTTTGGAT